CAAATGCCGGCCGTGGGGTTCAACCTCCTTTTGAGTCGACTCAAATGCCGGCCGTGGGGTTCAACCTCCTTTTGAGTCGACTCAAATGCCGGCCGTGGGGTTCAACCTCCTTTTGAGTCGACTCAAATGCCGGCCGTGGGGTTCAACCTCCTTTTGAGTCGACTCAAATGCCGGCCGTGGGGTTCAACCTCCTTTTGAGTCGACTCAAATGCCGGCCGTGGGGTTCAACCTCCTTTTGAGTCGACTCAAATGCCGGCCGTGGGGTTCAACCTCCTTTTGAGTCGACTCAAATGCCGGCCGTGGGGTTCAACCTCCTTTTGAGTCGACTCAAATGCCGGCCGTGGGGTTCAACCTCCTTTTGAGTCGGCTCAAATGCCGGCCGTGGGGTTCAACCTCCTTTTGAGTCGACTCAAATGCCGGCCGTGGGGTTCAACCTCCTTTTGAGTCGACTCAAATGCCGGCCGTGGGGTTCAACCTCCTTTTGAGTCGACTCAAATGCCGGCCGTGGGGTTCAACCTCCTTTTGAGTCGACTCAAATGCCGGCCGTGGGGTTCAACCTCCTTTTGAGTCGACTCAAATGCCGGCCGTGGGGTTCAACCTCCTTTTGAGTCGACTCAAATGCCGGCCGTGGGGTTCAACCTCCTTTTGAGTCGACTCAAATGCCGGCCGTGGGGTTCAACCTCATTTTGAGTCGACTCAAATGCCGGCCGTGGGGTTCAACCTCCTTTTGAGTCGACTCAAATGCCGGCCGTGGGGTTCAACCTCCTTTTGAGTCGGCTCAAATGCCGGCCGTGGGGTTCAACCTCCTTTTGAGTCGACTCAAATGCCGGCCGTGGGGTTCAACCTCCTTTTGAGTCGGCTCAAATGCCGGCCGTGGGGTTCAACCTCCTTTTGAGTCGACTCAAATGCCGGCCGTGGGGTTCAACCTCCTTTTGAGTCGACTCAAATGCCGGCCGTGGGGTTCAACCTCCTTTTGAGTCGACTCAAATGCCGGCCGTGGGGTTCAACCTCCTTTTGAGTCGACTCAAATGCCGGCCGTGGGGTTCAACCTCCTTTTGAGTCGACTCAAATGCCGGCCGTGGGGTTCAACCTCCTTTTGAGTCGACTCAAATGCCGGCCGTGGGGTTCAACCTCCTTTTGAGTCGACTCAAATGCCGGCCGTGGGGTTCAACCTCCTTTTGAGTCGACTCAAATGCCGGCCGTGGGGTTCAACCTCCTTTTGAGTCGACTCAAATGCCGGCCGTGGGGTTCAACCTCCTTTTGAGTCGACTCAAATGCCGGCCGTGGGGTTCAACCTCCTTTTGAGTCGGCTCAAATGCCGGCCGTGGGGTTCAACCTCCTTTTGAGTCGACTCAAATGCCGGCCGTGGGGTTCAACCTCCTTTTGAGTCGACTCAAATGCCGGCCGTGGGGTTCAACCTCCTTTTGAGTCGACTCAAATGCCGGCCGTGGGGTTCAACCTCCTTTTGAGTCGACTCAAATGCCGGCCGTGGGGTTCAACCTCCTTTTGAGTCGACTCAAATGCCGGCCGTGGGGCTCAACCTCCTTTTGAGTCGACTCAAATGCCGGCCGTGGGGTTCAACCTCCTTTTGAGTCGACTCAAATGCCGGCCGTGGGGTTCAACCTCCTTTTGAGTCGACTCAAATGCCGGCCGTGGGGTTCAACCTCCTTTTGAGTCGACTCAAATGCCGGCCGTGGGGTTCAACCTCCTTTTGAGTCGACTCAAATGCCGGCCGTGGGGTTCAACCTCCTTTTGAGTCGACTCAAATGCCGGCCGTGGGGTTCAACCTCCTTTTGAGTCGACTCAAATGCCGGCCGTGGGGTTCAACCTCCTTTTGAGTCGACTCAAATGCCGGCCGTGGGGTTCAACCTCCTTTTGAGTCGACTCAAATGCCGGCCGTGGGGTTCAACCTCCTTTTGAGTCGACTCAAATGCCGGCCGTGGGGGTTCAACCTCCTTTTGAGTCGGCTCAAATGCCGGCCGTGGGGTTCAACCTCCTTTTGAGTCGACTCAAATGCCGGCCGTGGGGTTCAACCTCCTTTTGAGTCGACTCAAATGCCGGCCGTGGGGTTCAACCTCCTTTTGAGTCGACTCAAATGCCGGCCGTGGGGTTCAACCTCCTTTTGAGTCGACTCAAATGCCGGCCGTGGGGTTCAACCTCCTTTTGAGTCGACTCAAATGCCGGCCGTGGGCTCAACCTCCTTTTGAGTCGACTCAAATGCCGGCCGTGGGGTTCAACCTCCTTTTGAGTCGACTCAAATGCCGGCCGTGGGGTTCAACCTCCTTTTGAGTCGACTCAAATGCCGGCCGTGGGGTTCAACCTCCTTTTGAGTCGACTCAAATGCCGGCCGTGGGGTTCAACCTCCTTTTGAGTCGACTCAAATGCCGGCCGTGGGGTTCAACCTCCTTTTGAGTCGACTCAAATGCCGGCCGTGGGGTTCAACCTCCTTTTGAGTCGACTCAAATGCCGGCCGTGGGGTTCAACCTCCTTTTGAGTCGACTCAAATGCCGGCCCGTGGGGCTCAACCTCCTTTTGAGTCGACTCAAATGCCGGCCGTGGGGTTCAACCTCCTTTTGAGTCGACTCAAATGCCGGCCGTGGGGTTCAACCTCCTTTTGAGTCGACTCAAATGCCGGCCGTGGGGTTCAACCTCCTTTTGAGTCGACTCAAATGCCGGCCGTGGGGTTCAACCTCCTTTTGAGTCGACTCAAATGCCGGCCGTGGGGTTCAACCTCCTTTTGAGTCGACTCAAATGCCGGCCGTGGGGTTCAACCTCCTTTTGAGTCGATTCAAATGCCGGCCGTGGGGCTCAACCTCCTTTTGAGTCGACTCAAATGCCGGCCGTGGGGTTCAACCTCCTTTTGAGTCGACTCAAATGCCGGCCGTGGGGTTCAACCTCCTTTTGAGTCGACTCAAATGCCGGCCGTGGGGTTCAACCTCCTTTTGAGTCGACTCAAATGCCGGCCGTGGGGTTCAACCTCCTTTTGAGTCGACTCAAATGCCGGCCGTGGGGTTCAACCTCCTTTTGAGTCGACTCAAATGCCGGCCGTGGGGCTCAACCTCCTTTTGAGTCGACTCAAATGCCGGCCGTGGGGTTCAACCTCCTTTTGAGTCGACTCAAATGCCGGCCGTGGGGTTCAACCTCCTTTTGAGTCGACTCAAATGCCGGCCGTGGGGTTCAACCTCCTTTTGAGTCGACTCAAATGCCGGCCGTGGGGTTCAACCTCCTTTTGAGTCGACTCAAATGCCGGCCGTGGGGTTCAACCTCCTTTTGAGTCGACTCAAATGCCGGCCGTGGGGTTCAACCTCCTTTTGAGTCGACTCAAATGCCGGCCGTGGGGTTCAACCTCCTTTTGAGTCGATTCAAATGCCGGCCGTGGGGCTCAACCTCCTTTTGAGTCGACTCAAATGCCGGCCGTGGGGTTCAACCTCCTTTTGAGTCGACTCAAATGCCGGCCGTGGGGTTCAACCTCCTTTTGAGTCGACTCAAATGCCGGCCGTGGGGTTCAACCTCCTTTTGAGTCGACTCAAATGCCGGCCGTGGGGTTCAACCTCCTTTTGAGTCGACTCAAATGCCGGCCGTGGGGCTCAACCTCCTTTTGAGTCGACTCAAATGCCGGCCGTGGGGTTCAACCTCCTTTTGAGTCGACTCAAATGCCGGCCGTGGGGTTCAACCTCCTTTTGAGTCGACTCAAATGCCGGCCGTGGGGTTCAACCTCCTTTTGAGTCGACTCAAATGCCGGCCGTGGGGTTCAACCTCCTTTTGAGTCGACTCAAATGCCGGCCGTGGGGTTCAACCTCCTTTTGAGTCGACTCAAATGCCGGCCGTGGGGTTCAACCTCCTTTTGAGTCGACTCAAATGCCGGCCGTGGGGTTCAACCTCCTTTTGAGTCGATTCAAATGCCGGCCGTGGGGCTCAACCTCCTTTTGAGTCGACTCAAATGCCGGCCGTGGGGTTCAACCTCCTTTTGAGTCGACTCAAATGCCGGCCGTGGGGTTCAACCTCCTTTTGAGTCGACTCAAATGCCGGCCGTGGGGTTCAACCTCCTTTTGAGTCGACTCAAATGCCGGCCGTGGGGTTCAACCTCCTTTTGAGTCGACTCAAATGCCGGCCGTGGGGCTCAACCTCCTTTTGAGTCGACTCAAATGCCGGCCGTGGGGTTCAACCTCCTTTTGAGTCGACTCAAATGCCGGCCGTGGGGTTCAACCTCCTTTTGAGTCGACTCAAATGCCGGCCGTGGGGCTCAACCTCCTTTTGAGTCGACTCAAATGCCGGCCGTGGGGTTCAACCTCCTTTTGAGTCGACTCAAATGCCGGCCGTGGGGTTCAACCTCCTTTTGAGTCGACTCAAATGCCGGCCGTGGGGTTCAACCTCCTTTTGAGTCGACTCAAATGCCGGCCGTGGGGTTCAACCTCCTTTTGAGTCGACTCAAATGCCGGCCGTGGGGTTCAACCTCCTTTTGAGTCGACTCAAATGCCGGCCGTGGGGTTCAACCTCCTTTTGAGTCGACTCAAATGCCGGCCGTGGGGTTCAACCTCCTTTTGAGTCGATTCAAATGCCGGCCGTGGGGCTCAACCTCCTTTTGAGTCGACTCAAATGCCGGCCGTGGGGTTCAACCTCCTTTTGAGTCGACTCAAATGCCGGCCGTGGGGTTCAACCTCCTTTTGAGTCGACTCAAATGCCGGCCGTGGGGTTCAACCTCCTTTTGAGTCGACTCAAATGCCGGCCGTGGGGTTCAACCTCCTTTTGAGTCGACTCAAATGCCGGCCGTGGGGCTCAACCTCCTTTTGAGTCGACTCAAATGCCGGCCGTGGGGTTCAACCTCCTTTTGAGTCGACTCAAATGCCGGCCGTGGGGTTCAACCTCCTTTTGAGTCGACTCAAATGCCGGCCGTGGGGTTCAACCTCCCACCACTCCCCACTCTCTTTCCCTCTTCTCTCTCCCTGCTCTTCCCTATGGCACCACGCCAGGTGCGGGATTCCAAGAGGCTGAGGCGCATCATGCAGACCATTCTGTCACTGGGGAACGCGCTCAACCAGGGCACCGCCAGGGGCTCTGCCGTGGGGTTCAAGCTGGACAGTCTGCTGAAGCTCACCGACACCAAGACGCGCAACAACAAGATGACCCTCATGCACTATCTGGCCAAGGTGGGTGCTGTGCGGTGAAGCTGGGTGCTGTGTGGTGAAGGTGGGGTTGTTGAGGGGTCAAGGTGGGTGCAGTTGTGCTCGTAAAGTGAACCCATAAGTGGGGTGGGTTGGCTTTCAAGCTGGACAGTTTGCTGAAGCTCACCGACACCAAGACACGTGAAAAAAGAAGAGTTTTGAGACGTCTCAAAAGTCTGCTGAAGCTCACCGACACCAAGACGCTCAACAACAACAAGATGACGCTCATGCACTATCTGGCCAAGGTAAGTAGGTGCTTAGTGGTGAAGATGGGTGCAGTTGTGCTGGTAAAGTGAACCCATGAGTGGGGTGGATTTGCTTTCAAGTTGGACAGTTTGCTGAAGCCACCAAGACGCGCAACAAGATGACCCTCATCATGCACTATCTCACCAAGAGCGCTGATGAAGGCCACTGGCCGAAACGCGCGTACGCTCAGGTTTGAATGAAAATCTCTTATCTATTCAATCCCTACTAGCCTAAGCTCAGCCTAGAGGAGATTAGGAGATTAGGACGAGTTACCTGTTGGATCCAGGTCGAAACTGTTTTTCTGTGCAACAAGATGACCCTCATCATGCACTATCTCACCGAGGTGGGAGCTGCCGAGGAGTGAAGATTCCCCTTGTTTATCCTGCCGTACTCTCTTTCTTGTTCTCCACACGTAATGTCCATCTGTTTTCTCTTCACTCAAACGCTCCTTCTCACTCTATTTCGTCTGTGCAAAGCAAGCCTGCGCACGTGATAGAGTGAAGTTTTGAGACGTCTCAAAACGGTCCTTCTCTCTCTCTCTCTCTCTCTCTCTATTTCGTCTGTGCAAAGCAAGCCTGCCCACGGACCCCTCCTCAGCTACCCACAGCAGACAGACAGGTGTCCGTACCTTGTTTTGTTGTGTGCCCACCCAAGTGCAAGCAATAAGCTCTTCTGCTGATCATTTTCACGATTGAATGTACATTCTCCATGCGAACCCTGCTTTTCTCAGTATATTCTCTTCAGGTGCTCACGGAGAAGCTGCCTGAGCTCGCCTTGTTCTGGGAGGAGCTGCGTGCTGTAAAGCAAACCTGTGTTTCCCCGCTCTCCCCCTACGCCTACCTACTCCCTTCGCCTTCCCCCCCCCCTCCCTTTCAGGTGCTCACGGAGAAGCTGCCCGAGCTCGCCTTGTTCTGGGAGGAGCTGCCGTCCCTTGAAGATGCCCACAAGGTTTGTCTCCCGAACCTGCCCACAAGGTGTGTCTCCTGAACCTGCCCACAAGGTGTGTCTCCCGAACCTGCCCACAAGGTGTGTCTCCCGAACCTGCCCACAAGGTGTGTCTCCCGAACCTGCCCACAAGGTGTGTCTCCCAAACCTGCCCACACCGTTTGTCTCCCGAACCTGCCAAACAGCACTTGAGCAGCACTAAGTTGAGCCATTGACCCACTATCGGGCTTCCTTCTTCTTTGAAGAAGTGTTTTGAGACGTCTCAAAACACTTCTTCAAAACCGAACCTGCCAAACAGCACTTGAGCAGCACTAAGTTGAGCCATTGACCCACTATCGGGCTCCCCTCTTCTCTTCCCTCCCACCCGCTATCGTTCTCTCTGCCCTCATTGTCCTCTCTGCCCTCATTGTCTCCCCCCCCACCTCCCCTTCTCAGATTCAAGTGAAGTAGCTAGGAGAGGAGATGCAGCAGCTCAACAGCGGCACCACCAAGCTGGACTGTAACCCTTTCTCTTCCCCTTACCCCCTGCTCTCCTCACCACCCGAATCCCTTCCCTCCCTCCTCCACCTTTCAGATTCAAGTGAAGCAGCTGGGAGAGGAGATGGGCCAGCTCAACAGCGGCACCACCAAGCTGGAGCGTGCAGTGTGCCCCATTCTCTCCCTTTTGACCCTTCTATTCCTCCCCCCCCCCCAATCAGATTCAAGTGAAGCAGCTGGGAGAGGAGATGAGCCAGCACAACAGCGGCACCACCGAGCTGGAGCATTGAACCACTCCCTGGTTTCCCCTCTTCCGTCCTTCCCCCCACACCCGCACCCCAACACCTCTCACCCCGTTCAGATCCAAGTGAAGCAGCTGGGAGAGGAGATGGGCCAGCTCAACAGCGGCACCACCAAGCTGGAGCGCGAAATGGTGGCGTCAGAGAAGGACGGGCCCGTGTCTGAGAACTTCCGAACGGTGAGGGGAAGTGGGGGGTGGGCTTGAGCATGAGGGAGTAGTCATGGCTTGCGAACATGAAATGGTGGCATCAGAGACGGACGGGCCCGTGTCTGAGAACTTCCGAACGGTGAGGGGAAGTGGGGGGTGGGCTTGAGCATGAGGGAGTAGTCATGGCTTGCGAACATGAAATGGTGGCATCAGAGACGGACGGGCCCGTGTCTGAGAACTTCCGAACGGTGAGGGGAAGTGGGGGGTGGGCTTGAGCATGAGGGAGTAGTCATGGCTTGCGAACATGAAATGGTGGCATCAGAGACGGACGGGCCCGTGTCTGAGAACTTCCGAACGGTGAGGGGAAGTGGGGGGTGGGCTTGAGCATGAGGGAGTAGTCATGGCTTGCGAACATGAAATGGTGGCATCAGAGACGGACGGGCCCGTGTCTGAGAACTTCCGAACGGTGAGGGGAAGTGGGGGGTGGGCTTGAGCATGAGGGAGTAGTCATGGCTTGCGAACATGAAATGGTGGCATCAGAGACGGACGGGCCCGTGTCTGAGAACTTCCGAACGGTGAGGGGAAGTGGGGGGTGGGCTTGAGCATGAGGGAGTAGTCATGGCTTGCGAACATGAAATGGTGGCATCAGAGACGGACGGGCCCGTGTCTGAGAACTTCCGAACGGTGAGGGGAAGTGGGGGGTGGGCTTGAGCATGAGGGAGTAGTCATGGCTTGCGAACATGAAATGGTGGCATCAGAGACGGACGGGCCCGTGTCTGAGAACTTCCGAACGGTGAGGGGAAGTGGGGGGTGGGCTTGAGCATGAGGGAGTAGTCATGGCTTGCGAACATGAAATGGTGGCATCAGAGACGGACGGGCCCGTGTCTGAGAACTTCCGAACGGTGAGGGGAAGTGGGGGGTGGGCTTGAGCATGAGGGAGTAGTCATGGCTTGCGAACATGAAATGGTGGCATCAGAGACGGACGGGCCCGTGTCTGAGAACTTCCGAACGGTGAGGGGAAGTGGGGGGTGGGCTTGAGCATGAGGGAGTAGTCATGGCTTGCGAACATGAAATGGTGGCATCAGAGACGGACGGGCCCGTGTCTGAGAACTTCCGAACGGTGAGGGGAAGTGGGGGGTGGGCTTGAGCATGAGGGAGTAGTCATGGCTTGCGAACATGAAATGGTGGCATCAGAGACGGACGGGCCCGTGTCTGAGAACTTCCGAACGGTGAGGGGAAGTGGGGGGTGGGCTTGAGCATGAGGGAGTAGTCATGGCTGGCTTGCGAACATGAAATGGTGGCATCAGAGACGGACGGGCCCGTGTCTGAGAACTTCCGAACGGTGAGGGGAAGTGGGGGGTGGGCTTGAGCATGAGGGAGTAGTCATGGCTTGCGAACATGAAATGGTGGCATCAGAGACGGACGGGCCCGTGTCTGAGAACTTCCGAACGGTGAGGGGAAGTGGGGGGTGGGCTTGAGCATGAGGGAGTAGTCATGGCTTGCGAACATGAAATGGTGGCATCAGAGACGGACGGGCCCGTGTCTGAGAACTTCCGAACGGTGAGGGGAAGTGGGGGGTGGGCTTGAGCATGAGGGAGTAGTCATGGCTTGCGAACATGAAATGGTGGCATCAGAGACGGACGGGCCCGTGTCTGAGAACTTCCGAACGGTGAGGGGAAGTGGGGGGTGGGCTTGAGCATGAGGGAGTAGTCATGGCTTGCGAACATGAAATGGTGGCATCAGAGACGGACGGGCCCGTGTCTGAGAACTTCCGAACGGTGAGGGGAAGTGGGGGGTGGGCTTGAGCATGAGGGAGTAGTCATGGCTGGCTTGCGAACATGAAATGGTGGCATCAGAGACGGACGGGCCCGTGTCTGAGAACTTCCGAACGGTGAGGGGAAGTGGGGGGTGGGCTTGAGCATGAGGGAGTAGTCATGGCTTGCGAACATGAAATGGTGGCATCAGAGACGGACGGGCCCGTGTCTGAGAACTTCCGAACGGTGAGGGGAAGTGGGGGGTGGGCTTGAGCATGAGGGAGTAGTCATGGCTTGCGAACATGAAATGGTGGCATCAGAGACGGACGGGCCCGTGTCTGAGAACTTCCGAACGGTGAGGGGAAGTGGGGGGTGGGCTTGAGCATGAGGGAGTAGTCATGGCTGGCTTGCGAACATGAAATGGTGGCATCAGAGACGGACGGGCCCGTGTCTGAGAACTTCCGAACGGTGAGGGGAAGTGGGGGGTGGGCTTGAGCATGAGGGAGTAGTCATGGCTTGCGAACATGAAATGGTGGCATCAGAGACGGACGGGCCCGTGGCTGGGAACTTCCGAACGGTGAGGGGAAGTGGGGGGTGGGCTTGAGCATGAGGGAGTAGTCATGGCTTGCGAACATGAAATGGTGGCATCAGAGACGGACGGGCCCGTGTCTGAGAACTTCCGAACGGTGAGGGGAAGTGGGGGGTGGGCTTGAGCATGAGGGAGTAGTCATGGCTGGCTTGCGAACATGAAATGGTGGCATCAGAGACGGACGGGCCCGTGTCTGAGAACTTCCGAACGGTGAGGGGATGTGGGGGGTGGGCTTGAGCATGAGGGAGTAGTCATGGCTTGCGAACATGAAATGGTGGCATCAGAGACGGACGGGCCCGTGTCTGAGAACTTCCGAACGGTGAGGGGAAGTGGGGGGTGGGCTTGAGCATGAGGGAGTAGTCATGGCTGGCTTGCGAACATGAAATGGTGGCATCAGAGACAGACGGGCCCGTGTCTGAGAACTTCCGAACGGTGAGGGGAAGTGGGGGGTGGGCTTGAGCATGAGGGAGTAGTCATGGCTTGCGAACATGAAATGGTGGCATCAGAGACGGACGGGCCCGTGGCTGAGAACTTCCGAACGGTGAGGGGAAGTGGGGGGTGGGCTTGAGCATGAGGGAGTAGTCATGGCTTGCGAACATGAAATGGTGGCATCAGAGACGGACGGGCCCGTGGCTGAGAACTTCCGAACGGTGAGGGGAAGTGGGGGGTGGGCTTGAGCATGAGGGAGTAGTCATGGCTGGCTTGCGAACATGAAATGGTGGCATCAGAGACGGACGGGCCCGTGTCTGAGAACTTCCGAACGGTGAGGGGAAGTGGGGGGTGGGCTTGAGCATGAGGGAGTAGTCATGGCTTGCGAACATGAAATGGTGGCATCAGAGACGGACGGGCCCGTGGCTGAGAACTTCCGAACGGTGAGGGGAAGTGGGGGGTGGGCTTGAGCATGAGGGAGTAGTCATGGCTTGCGAACATGAAATGGTGGCATCAGAGACGGACGGGCCCGTGTCTGAGAACTTCCGAACGGTGAGGGGAAGTGGGGGGTGGGCTTGAGCATGAGGGAGTAGTCATGGCTGGCTTGCGAACATGAAATGGTGGCATCAGAGACGGACAGGCCCGTGGCTGAGAACTTCCGAACGGTGAGGGGAAGTGGGGGGTGGGCTTGAGCATGAGGGAGTAGTCATGGCTTGCGAACATGAAATGGTGGCATCAGAGACGGACGGGCCCGTGTCTGAGAACTTCCGAACGGTGAGGGGAAGTGGGGGGTGGGCTTGAGCATGAGGGAGTAGTCATGGCTTGCGAACATGAAATGGTGGCATCAGAGACGGACGGGCCCGTGTCTGAGAACTTCCGAACGGTGAGGGGAAGTGGTGGGTGGGCTTGAGCATGAGGGAGTAGTCATGGCTTGCGAACATGAAATGGTGGCATCAGAGACGGACGGGCCCGTGTCTGAGAACTTCCGAACGGTGAGGGGAAGTGGGGGGTGGGCTTGAGCATGAGGGAGTAGTCATGGCTTGCGAACATGAAATGGTGGCATCAGAGACGGACGGGCCCGTGTCTGAGAACTTCCGAACGGTGAGGGGAAGTGTTGGGTGGGCTTGAGCATGAGGGAGTAGTCATGGCTTGCGAACATGAAATGGTGGCATCAGAGACGGACGGGCCCGTGGCTGAGAACTTCCGAACGGTGAGGGGAAGTGGGGGGTGGGCTTGAGCATGAGGGAGTAGTCATGGCTGGCTTGCGAACATGAAATGGTGGCATCAGAGACGGACGGGCCCGTGTCTGAGAACTTCCGAACGGTGAGGGGAAGTGGGGGGTGGGCTTGAGCATGAGGGAGTAGTCATGGCTGGCTTGCGAACATGAAATGGTGGCATCAGAGACGGACGGGCCCGTGTCTGAGAACTTCCGAACGGTGAGGGGAAGTGGGGGGTGGGCTTGAGCATGAGGGAGTAGTCATGGCTTGCGAACATGAAATGGTGGCATCAGAGACGGACGGGCCCGTGTCTGAGAACTTCCGAACGGTGAGGGGAAGTGGGGGGTGGGCTTGAGCATGAGGGAGTAGTCATGGCTGGCTTGCGAACATGAAATGGTGGCATCAGAGACGGACGGGCCCGTGTCTGAGAACTTCCGAACGGTGAGGGGAAGTGGGGGGTGGGCTTGAGCATGAGGGAGTAGTCATGGCTTGCGAACATGAAATGGTGGCATCAGAGACGGACGGGCCCGTGGCTGAGAACTTCCGAACGGTGAGGGGAAGTGGGGGGTGGGCTTGAGCATGAGGGAGTAGTCATGGCTTGCGAACATGAAATGGTGGCATCAGAGACGGACGGGCCCGTGGCTGAGAACTTCCGAACGGTGAGGGGAAGTGGGGGGTGGGCTTGAGCATGAGGGAGTAGTCATGGCTGGCTTGCGAACATGAAATGGTGGCATCAGAGACGGACGGGCCCGTGTCTGAGAACTTCCGAACGGTGAGGGGAAGTGGGGGGTGGGCTTGAGCATGAGGGAGTAGTCATGGCTTGCGAACATGAAATGGTGGCATCAGAGACGGACGGGCCCGTGGCTGAGAACTTCCGAACGGTGAGGGGAAGTGGGGGGTGGGCTTGAGCATGAGGGAGTAGTCATGGCTGGCTTGCGAACATGAAATGGTGGCATCAGAGACGGACGGGCCCGTGTCTGAGAACTTCCGAACGGTGAGGGGAAGTGGGGGGTGGGCTTGAGCATGAGGGAGTAGTCATGGCTTGCGAACATGAAATGGTGGCATCAG